GCGGGCGGACGTTTTGACAACAAACCGAAATCGCCGGGACCACGGATGCGTGCACACTCAGCCGCCGACGCCGAGGCAAGAAGGCTCCTGCGGTCGGCAGGATGCCCCGGGAGGCACGCCCCGTCAGGCTCAGCGACTACCTGGAGAGGCGCCGCACAGAGATGTGCCCCGCCAAGGGCGCCGGCCTGTACCGCCGCGTCTGGAACACCCTGCAGGGCACCAAGGTACCACGGGGCGGGGGGATCCGGGACACTCGTAGCCTGAAGGCCAGAATTTGTTTGTTTTTACGTTTCCAAGCTACAGCAGATCTCGCAAAATCAGCATTTTGAACTTAAACGAAAGTGCCCTGAAACGTTTTAGAGGCGACATGGGCCAACGAAGTTCCAAAGTACCTAAAAAGTTATCGATTTAAAGTGTCAAATGAACAAGTTTCAGATCCAATTCAATTTGTTCCTTATCAATGTTACTTGACTTTATTTCGTTTCAATTTACTCAGTAAAATATGATATACATTGTTTAAGAGGGATCTTCAATATATAAGGCTACACTGGGGCGTTGCTTCTGAGGTTGAATATACACTGAAAATCAAATAGTGATACATCTCACTCTCATTTCGGTGAGGACGGCTTCCTCCCCCAAATTTGGGCGAGAATCCTTCCTCACACAACTTTGGGCGATAAAGTATACCTCGCCAAAAATTGGGTATTGATCAAGACTCTTTTATTCTCATCTTTTATTATCAGCTTAAATGAGAAAAATTGGTACATGAAAGTAAATAAGTAATTTAGAAGCGACCACTGGTAGCCGACGAATGTGACGTCACATTCGTTGGAGTGCGAATTTTGTCACGGTCGTTTGAATATGATGTGAATAGAACGTTTGAATAGAACGTGGATCAACATTCAACCGAATGTAACATCATAGGTATTCAAACGAACGTGACAAAATGCACTCGTACGAATATGACGTCACATTCGTCATTGTACAATAATTTGAGACGGCCCCTGCCTGCCTGCGGCAGGTGTCGGTGATGATCTCGGCGGTGACGGCGTCCCTGGCCGTCGGCGACTGCCTGACCAAGGACTCGTACCTGGACGCCAGCCTGGGCATCCGCATCACGGTGGGCGTCGTGTCGTGCACCACGGCGCAGTACCTGTACGCGTGGCGCCGCGCCGCGTTCGGCAGCACACTGCGAGGCATGGCGGCCGTGGCCAGGGCCCTGGAGGGCACGGCGGACGTTGTTCAGATGGTGAAACGACGGCCCCTATTCGAAAGTTCTTTTCTGGGCGCTCCTAGTGAAAGAATCTTATCTGCAACGCACGCGAAGTTTGACCATATGGGACGGAGGAGGGTAAGCGAAACACGTTTCTACACGTACTATTAATTCCTTCGATCTTTCATCTTCATGTTTGTGTGACTATACAATCCCAAATTATTTTGATTTGCAGCTACCTGAAATGATGAAACTTGGTGAAATTCGCTTGCTTTGCAGATAAGATTCTCTGAATAGGAGCGCCCAGATAAGATCTTTTGAATAGGACCCCTCGAAAAGTCGTATGGCGCTTATTTAAATATCATTTTCTAAATATCTAGTTTTCCTGAAAAACCAACAAGACCAAAACAAATTTGAAGAAAAATAAAAATGGCCTGCGGTAGATTTTAGAGCCTCTTGTTGACTGATATTTTCAAATTTGCCACACGGTGAAACCGATGTCTGGAAATTTCCAGACATTTTTTCCCATTTCCAGACATAGTCTGGAAATGGCCGTTTTTTTTCAGACAATGTCTGGAAATGTCTACTTTTTCCAGATAATGTCTGGAAATGGTCAAATCCCAGATATATATCTGGAAAAAAAACGGCATTTCCAGACAATGTCTGGAAATAACATTTTCCAGATAATATCTGGAAATTTCCCAGATAATGTCTGGAAACAAAGGCCTTGACGCCGAGGTCCACGGATTTGCGACCTGGGGGTCCCCGATGGTGTCCTCGAGGTCCCCAGGACACGAGGAGTCCAACGCCGAGGTCGCCGACGCTCTAGGACAAGCGGTTCCGGAGATACGAGGACGTACCACAAGGAGTCCGTCAAAGCAACTTTTTAGTTGGAGGCCAAAATCATCATCGGCCTCTGGCTGCGTTCCACTTGGGTGTCCGGGACTTTTGACTTCAGCATCGTGTTAAGGTAGTGCTAGACTACCAGGAACCCGTCAGAGGTCGCCGTCGGACCACCGGTGCGCCCAGGATGCCGACGAACGTGGCTGCTGTGCCGCCACACGGTTCAACACCGTTGTCGCCACCACCCAGGTGGTCCCCGATGGTGTCCTCGAGGTCCCCAGGACACGGGGAGTCCAACGCCGAGGTCGCCGACGCTCTAGGACAAGCGGTTCCGGAGATACGAGGACGTACCACAAGGAGTCCGTCAAAGCAACTTTTTAGTTGGAGGCCGAAATCATCATCGGCCTCTGGCTGCGTTCCACTTGGGTGTCCGGGATTTTGACTTCAGCATCGTGTTAAGGTAGTGCTAGACTACCAGGAACCCCGTCAGGGGTCGCCGTCGGACCAACGGTGCGCCCAGGATGCCGACGAACGTGCCGCCGGGTCCTCCGCACCAGCCGCGAGCTTGGACGACGAAGCGGCCGTTAGAACACACTAACGGCCGACTAAGCACGTGGTGGCGTCGACGTACACGTCGGCGGCGTCGGTGCCAACGGCGTCGGCCTCCGTCGTCCAAGCTCGCGGTTTGGTGCGGAGGACCCGGCGGCAGCGGCCGCAGCGGTGGCGACGATCGTTTAGGCACCCGGCACGCCACGGCGCTCCGGCGTGCCTCACGTTCGTCGGCATCCTGGGCGCACCGTTGGTCCGACGGCGACCCCTGACGGGTTCCCTGGTAGTCTAGCACTACCTTAACACGATGCTGAAGTCAAAAGTCCCGGACACCCAAGTGGAACGCAGCCAGAGGCCGATGATGATTTTGGCCTCCAACTAAAAAGTTGCTTTGACGGACTCCTTGTGGTACGTCCTCGTATCTCCGGAACCGCTTGTCCTAGAGCGTCGGTGACCTCGGCGTTGGATTCCCCGTGTCCTGGGGACCTCGAGGACACCATCGGGGACCACCTGGGTGGTGGCGACAACGGTGTTGAACCGTGTGGCGGCACAGCAGCCACGTTCGTCGGCATCCTGGGCGCACCGGTGGTCCGACGGCGACCTCTGACGGGTTCCTGTAGTCTAGCACTACCTTAACACGATGCTGAAGTCAAAAGTCCCGGACACCCAAGTGGAACGCAGCCAGAGGCCGATGATGATTTTGGCCTCCAACTAAAAGTTGCTTTGACGGACTCCTTGTGGTACGTCCTCGTATCTCCGGAACCGCTTGTCCTAGAGCGTCGGCGACCTCGGCGTTGGACTCCTCGTGTCCTGGGGACCTCTAGGACACCATCGGGGACCCCTAGGTCGCAAATCCGTGGACCTCAGCGTCAAGGCCTTTGTTTCCAGACATTACCTGGGAAATTTCCAGATATTATCTGGAAAATGTTATTTCCAGACATTGTCTGGAAATGCCTTTTTTTTTTCAGATATATCTGGGATTTGACCATTTCCAGACATTATCTGGAAAAAGTAGACATTTCCAGACATTGTCTGGAAAAAAACGGCCATTTCCAGACAATGTCTGGAAATGGGAAAAAATGTCTGGAAATTTCCAGACATCGGTTTCACCGTGCAAAGCTATCTTTTCCTATGAATAAAATGGATATAATTGCCAGAATCTGAAAACTGGGTAGCTAATCCTTTGTCGTGAGAATTTAGGAGAAACGACTAAAAGTTTACGTAAATCTCAATAACTCAGAAACTTAAAGTAGGTGGTGCCCCCAACTTTGTAATTAAATTCATCTAATAGTGGTTCAATTTTGGAGATAGATATTTCTAAGACACGCTAGCTTTACTTTATAGTATCCGTAAATGAAATAACGACACTGAAATTCAATGGGTGAGACATCTGACCGATTATCCAAGTTGCGATACTTTCAACACAAAAACGTGCGATGATATCCAAAATGTGATTCCCACGAATCATTGCTCCTGAGATGCAATGACTTCTGTATCGCACAAAATTCTGCAATGATCATTGCAACTTTCTGCAATAAAGATCGGGATTATTGCAAAAAATGCGATGATGACAACACAAAATCTGTGCTGTAGTCGCTACGTGTGTTGGAGTAGGGCCAACGAACAAGTAAGTGAGTATGGGGCGATTTGTAACGATTTTGGAATTCTCTATACAAAATTAGAACATTCTGTATATCGGTGTCAAACTTGTGCCAGTTGAGCAGTCTGGCCCTTCATCTAGACTGTGCAGCTCCATTGGATCAACCTGGAGTCCGTAATCTTTGAAATCTAAGACGCTTTCCAAACCCTTGCATGCTGTTACGAATCGCCCCAGCATGGGGTGATTTGTAACAGCCTTGGGGCCTTTCATAACATCCTACACATTAAATGAAACACCGTCGGGAATGTCATCCCCTCCAGCAATTGTTCTTCGGATGTCCTGCAGACGCCTTAAAATCTACATTACAAGCTGCCGTTGACCGCCTCAGCATTAACTGACCGGCTATGTCAACCCTAACCTCACTTTTTTCAACTTTGGAGGAAAGAATAGAATAACTCGCTTTAAAACGCATTTTGAGCTGTGTAAATGTATTTGAATTAGGCAGCAGATGATTCGAGAAATAATTCAAGCATTTAATTGCAAAAACTACTTAGATTCTTGTTTTTATACGGGTCTGTTACGAATCACCCCAAATGCCTGTTACGCAAGAAATCCGTCCCTAACTGTCACTGGACAAAGTAAAAGCAACTTTTGCCATGTGGTTACATAGTAAAGGGGTCACGCTTCAAGGGCCCAACGGTACTCCGATGGTGATTCATACCTGGGGAGCCTCAGACAGAAACTTCCTAGAACTCAAAATAAAAGATTTGCCTGTTTTCGGTGTACCCTATATTTCAGACGCCCTCCAAAACTATACCTGAGCACCGATCACATCCGCTTCGATTGTTGAGGGACCCTGTACTTGAAGCGAAAGAGGGGCCATACTCAGATTTTCCTCTGCTCCCTCCACTTAAATTAATAAACGCATTTGTTACGAATCGCCCCTGTTACAAATCGCCCCATACTCCCTTAAGCACGATTGTGTCTGGTTTGGAACTGGCGAGATTCTGTCTAGTGGGCCAGCGAGGAGGGGGGGGAGGTGCCATATCGACAGTAGAGAATCGATGTATCGATAGTAGATATGAGGATACAGCACCCCTCCCCCTTTACTGGACGACCCTAAATCCCACGTTTTTAACAAAAATAATACTTTTTTTACAAATCAGTAATTAGAACTAAATATGAAACTGATTCAAGTCAGATAATGAAGCTTAATGCAAGCTGAGGTCCATAGGTAGGTATTGAGCGTGGTCCAGGCGTAGTTTTGCGGGCGTCGTTCTTGCGTTCCGGTCTTCTCTCTGGTTCCGCCTCTGGTGGTGGCCGAGTCCTGGCGGACCCTCGCGGGTCCCGCCTGGCTCGGCCGCCCACCGGCCCTGCTGTTACGCCCCCCCGGGCCGTCTTGACGGAGGTTTCTTTGACGTTCAGCCGAAGCGCCCCAGGCGGACCCCTCCGCGGGTCCCGCCCTGGCTGTCCCCGCCTCCTCCCCCCTGGAGTGGCTGGACTTGTCATTTGAAGAGCCAGGCTGGGATAAGGGTTGTGCCTCCTCCTCACATTCCTCAGCTGATTTCTTATCTTGCGCTCTTCGGGGGTGTGATCCTTGCGGCCTGTCGCGCCGCTCTCCTGTTGGTGATTGGGGCCGTGGCCGCGGCTGCCACTGTTGAAAGCCTGTCCCACGGCAGCAGGGCAGTGGATACAGTTCGGCCCGGGGCGGACCGTGACCTCACGGAGTCCTGCTGCGGCACCCGGATTATGATGGACTGCGGCCTCCCTGTCGGCGTTGTTTGCGGGGCTGAAGTCCGTGCTGGCTGGGGGTGTCCTTCCGGCGCGAGCAGGGGGGCATACCCGGCGGTCCTTGGAGGCTGCATGAAAAAACCTAGGGGGTAATGGATCGCAACGGAGCGGGCCCGGGAAATTTCTCTGCCCTTTCCCCTTAATTGTAGTTCACTTTTTCTCCGACTAAATATGCGTTTTTTGAGATGGGTGGGGCATTTTCGGAAAGAAGACATCTTAAAGTATGCCCTAAATTCAAAAAAGGTTCAATTTTCCCACCAGGGCTCGAACAGGAACAGCTTAACCGTTGCGCTACTCAAATGCGCAGGGCGACGGGCATGGTGCCAGGGGCGACGCAGGGGGGACGCATCTTCAACTTGCGATAGAAGCTTCCCGATGCCGAAAAAGTGATGGGACATATTTTTCTTCGACATATATCAAGGTGCACCACTTGTCCCATCACTTTTGCGGCATCCGGAAGCTTCTAGCGCAAGGTGAAGAGGCGCCCCCCTGCGTCGCCCCTGGCACCATGCCCGTCGCCCTGCGCATTTGAGTAGCGCAACGGTTAAGCTGTTCCTGTTCGAGCCCTGGTGGGAAAATTGAACCTTTTTTAAATTTTAGGGCATACTTTAAGATGTCTTCTTTCCAAAAATGCCCGAGCCATCTCAAAACTCTCATATTT